CCTGTTCCCCCAGCCCCGGAGCACCCCCCCCCCTGTGGTGCCTGCGCTGGAGGGGCCGGAGCAGCAGCCACCCCTCACGTACTTCCCGTGGGGACAGCCCCTCTCTGCACTGCCAGCCCCCACTCTGCAGTACCAGCCAGCTTCTTCCACGCTTTCTGGGCCCCAGTTTGTGCCCCTGCCCATCTCCATTCCTGAGCCAGCCCCCCAGGAGCTGGAGGATGCCCGACGCGTGATCGGCGCCCTGCCCATCGAGAAGCTGCTCCTAGAAGATGAAGACAATGATACGTATGTTTTAAACCATGCTCTCTCTGTTGAAGGGCTCTAAGTTGCACATTTTGGGGCCTGATCCTCACCTACTCAATACTCCACCTGCCACCACGGTGAGTTTTGAGTACAGAGGAGAAGCAGGCTGGGGCTAATGGGTGGGAACTTCACTTGTGATTTCGGTGTCCCCCTCTAGCACCTCATGACTTGTGTGTTGTGTGAAACTTGCCTTGTCCTGGGGCCCAGCACAAGATTCCTCTGCTGTTGCAGTTCCTGCTGCCTCTGCCAGGCAGGCTTTTGATGCTGCATAGTTCTTGTGCTCAGCCTCAGCACGAGGTGACTTTCATCCTCAGACACAGGGCATGGTCTCAAATTGACACCCCAGTGACATGACCAGCAGTAGCATCTGGGGAGGAGACTCTTGCCTCTAAATATTGGCAAGCCTTGGTTCAACAGGACTGCTTTGCAGAGCTCAGTGTAAAATCCTTGTGTGTGTGTCTTTAACCTGTCCCTGGAGGAACCTCTCCCTGGTCTAGAAAACATTTTTGGGCACTTAATTTGGCATTTTTCTTTCCTAAATTGAGCTGCTCCTTAGGAAAAGGTAAAGTGTAGTTTTATTCTACTGGTGCAGGTAGGTGCATTAGTCTGAAGACCCAAAAAAGTCACTACAGCTGAGCTAAACACCAGTGCCAACAGACACCCCTGTTCCCAGAGCAACACAGAGTAATCTAGATGAAACACTGGAGTTCACACAAAAGTGTAACTTGAAGGTTTCTCCTTCTGTGCCATTGAAGGCAGCCACCTGGGTGTGGGACAGTGCTTTGGAGTCATGGCCTTTCAGCTGCAGAACAATCCACCTTTGAGACAGGGTCTGGTTTTGTGGCTAGCTGGAAATGTTGCATGTTCCACCAACAGATCCTGGTCCCACTAAAGTCACCAGGAGCTTTGCCTGAGTCAGGATTGCAAGACATGCCCCTATACCAGGAGATCATAGAGAAGACAGGGACTTCCACCTAGCAAGAAGTTCATGGCACTTCTTGTTCTGTAGCATTTGAGCGTGAAGTTGGTGATGTCTTGCTGAGCCAGGGAATGTAGTGACCTCTCTTGTGCCTTGCTGCTGTGGAAAGCTTCTCTGTGTCTCCCAGGCCCACAGCTGCACACGTTTTCCTTATAGCTTTCTGATTTTCTTCTCCTGGAGAATGAGTAGCTTGACTTTTTCCTCTGCTGCAACTGTATGTGTCCTTGTTGATGTTCAGGAGTGCCATGGCACAGGCAGATTATATCCCCATCCCCTTCTGTTCATTGTTCTCTTAATAAACAAGGGGCTCTTGGCTGGTGAACACAATTTCTCTGGGTTTTTCTGCTTTCTAAAGCCCAGGATCCTTAGGTGATTTTATTTGCAAGACTGACTGAAAAATACAGCATTGCACAGTTTGTGACCTGGTGTCCAGAATTCCAGTTGCCACCCAGGCAATATATCAAGATGACCTTCTAGTTTCTGGCCTGAGTGAGGTTTGCAAGCTCAGGTTGAAAGTCTGAAGGACTTTCAAAGCCTATTTTGTTATTTGGTAATGACAAATCTGGAAGACATAAGCAATAGATCATGTAAGTGATCACAAAGTTGTTTGAAACCAGCAGCAGTTCAGGTGCATTGAAATTAGTGGCTTATATTTGCAGAAAAACCCAGCAAAGAAATTAATTAAAAGGAGCTAAATTCACCACTGTTTGCTCCAGTTTTATGAGTCCCAAGCAGTAAAACTGGGGTCATTCAGTTGTGAATCAAGCCTGTGGTTGCTAAGATGGCTTTGGAATTTCTTTCACTCCAATGTATGTAAATTGTGTGTGTGAACATAAAACCATGATGAACTGCTTCAGGATTTCTTTCTGGGTTGTTCTGGTTAGAAAAAGAGAAAATCTTTTTCAATAAAGATCTACAGTACCTTCCATGTGCCTGGAGTGTCTTATTTCCTATCCAAAAGGGTAACCCAGCATGGGGGTAGTAATCAATTAGTTCAGTAACTGATACACAGGCTAGAACCACAGATTACCTGGTAGTCTTTCTGCTAATTCTGCACATTAAGGAGGAGCCCCATGATCCAAAAATGGCCTGGAGGGCCTGTTTACTCAAGCAGTCCTTGCTCACAGAAGCACTCCTGCAGCTCAGAGCTTAGTTCCATCACTGTTATCTTCTCTTGGCATCTGTGGGAACGTGTGTGTGATGCTGAGCTACACTGAGAATCAGACTAGCCCTACAAGTTGCATTTCTGCTTCCTGAAGTGGCAAGGTGTGGCTCTGGGGTACAAAATTACCTGAGGAAAGAAACACCAACCTCCCACCTTCTGACTAACAAGTGTCAAGTGTTGGTGTGTGGAGCAAAACCATCTCAGGGGCTGGAATGCCTGCCTGGAGGATGGTCTCCTCCTGTGCAGAGGGGAAGGGTGAAGCTCTCTGGGCATTCCCAGTGCCCTGCAAACAGGACCTGGGGGATGGAGTGGTGAGCAGCTCTGAGTGATGCTCTGCAGCCCCAGCCACAGAGCCAGGCAGCCAGAGTGAAGCAGTGAAGTGTTTTCCCTGTCGCTAAGGGCCAAACTGCTGTGACTTGTGACAGCTTTTGGCTTCATGCTCAAGATAAGGACTTGGGCCCTTTCATCAGTCATTTTGGGAAAGAAGTAGAGCTTAACAGGCTGCTTACAAACATTTAGAGGAGGTTGTGTTACCCTGAGTGGGGAGATGTCACTCCAAGTGATGCATGAATATGAGATGGGCCCCCACAGCAGGATTTGTAGAGCACTCAGATACCTCCCAGCACAAGGGTGAACCTCACCTGAAGGAAAGTGCTGAAGTGGAAAGGAGGCAGGATGACAAAGCTCAGGAGTGCTGGGGGCTCCTGAAAGCTGCTGTTATTTTGAGGTGGGAAGCTCTTCCCATGGCAGTGGGTACTTTCGAGGTCAGGCCCCTTAGGGCTTTTGGCATCGTTTTGTGGAACATTGGGTACAAACCCCTCAAAATGGCTCTGCTACCCTATAAAACTGTTTGCTCCCAGGGTGACTGATGGCCAGGCAGTGATCAGTGTCTTTATTTACTGTCTTAGAATTCTACATATTTATGCAGCTAAAGGTATGAGGGCGCATGCACTGGCAGCTGCCGAGCGCATGACACCGCTGCGAAGACTGGATGCCAAGGAGCACAGAGGAAAGGTAAATCCAGAGCCCTTTGTCCTGGGAACTGGGGTGTTTGGGATGGGCACGGGCTTTTCTGTGGCTGAAAGCAGCAGGTGGCCTGAAAAATCCAGCTCTGTTACTGCAAAGGAAGACTTGGGCATGGGTATGCCTCGCTGAGGTGCTTCTGGCAGCACCTGAAAAGGAGGTGGAATGAGAAGGAGGTTTTTCTTTTTCCAGCCCATGGGTCATGGAATGATCAAAGGGAACAGAGGGTCAGGGATAGGTGTGCATGTTGGTAGGAATCTCTGAGGCCAAAGGTTTAATGTGCAGGAGTGCTGCACCTGGCACAAGTGGTGTTCATCCAAATCAGGGAGCTCAGCAGGAGCTGAGAAATGCCCTCATCTCATGACTCCTCATACATGGGATCCAAAACCTGCCCATGAGCTGCCTTCAGTCCATGCACCACGATCCTTGGGGTTCTAGATGCCAGACTGCCTTTCCCTGATCCTGGTTTTATGACAGTATCTACTTCTAGCCTCTCACGTTTTCTCTGCTGTGCTGCTATTTCCAGACCCCTCTGCTGGTGGCTGTCACTGCCAGGCAGGCAGCTATTGTCTGTGATTTGATCCAGGCAGGAGCAGATGTCAATGCTGTGGACAACAAAGGGCAGTCAGCTCTACATCTTGCTGCCACATACGGGTACACCCAAGTGCTCCAGGTAGGAAAAGCTTTTATGGTTTTAATTGCCAGCAAGATAAGCCTACCATAAAGTCTCAGTGTTGGTCTCTCTAAATAACTGTCTCAGAAGGCAAGATGTCAGTAGGAATGAGGAGTGACTAGAGCCTCCTTTTCCATTGTGTGAGGAATAGACTTCCCAGGCTATTCCTGCTTTAAGGCTGTGCTTGCAGCTGACATCAGCCTCCTGTCACAGGGGAAATGGCTTTCATGCATGGGGGAGATGGATGCTTTCTGCAGACCAGTTCTGCTCTCCAGTTCTGCTGCTGGCAGGCCAGGCAGGGTGGGCTGGCTCTGCCTTCAGCCCCAGGCTGGTCTGGATTCCCCAGAGGCTGCAGGCAGCTGGGGGGTGGGACGGAGGGGAAGCAAAAACACCAGTTGAAACCCCCTCCCTGAGGTCGGTGTCATCCAGATGGGAGCAATGAATTGTGTCCAGGCTCAAGCCAGCTGAGGTGACCCTGCAGGCAGAGCTGGCACAGGCACAGCCTTCCCAGTCACATTTTTCAGATTTTAAGCAAAACCAAGATCCATTGAGATTTTCCAGGGAGTAAGAGGAACTAGTCACTCCTGTATGGCCAGAACCAACTGGAGCTTTCATGACTCCTGTCACCAGATCCTCCCCTCCCTCCAGCTTCCCAGATCTGTCTGTGGACAGGTCCAAGCTGTGTGCCAGCCTGACTCCAGCAGCCCTGAAGAGCCATTAGAAAAGGCACCGTGGGGATTTTTAGAAGGGATCAAATGGCACAGCTGAACATGCTGGAATGTGTCTCTTAAGCATGTAGCTATTTGCCTTCAAATGGAAAGAATAAAATGCTGCACATCAGGGCTGAGCGTGGGCTGCTCCAATGCAGGGTTTCATGGCAGCAGAGTGGTTGCTGCTGAGTTAACCTGAGGGCAGGATCCAGAGTCCTCTGAGGATGAGGGATGTGCCAGTGGAAGTGCCAGAGGGTGCCTGGCAGGTTGGCAGCCCAGCCCGGGAGTCGTTGGCTCTGCCTGGCACCCGCCCCGCGCCGCGGTGTGAGCCGGCGGTTAATGTGTAACGTGGGGAAGTTCTCTGGAAAACAGGTGTCTCATTCAGCAGGGGAAACTGGTTTACGTCTAGATAGTTCCAACAAAGCCTCCCAGAGGGCCTCGTGGTGGTTTTCTGGTTTCTTCTGGATTTTTT